CAATCACTTTGCTCCCTGCCCTCATGCTCTTTGCTGCCAGGTGAGAGTCCTGGATGGGCTTCCTGGTCCTACTTGCCTGGATGCAGTGCCGGCGCTGAAATGTGCTCAGACCCTGCGTGAGGATGGGTTACCCCCTGCAAGACTTTGCCTGGTCACCATCACTGCACGTGTGACACTGTGCACGTGTCACCCACCGTGTGGCATCAACCCAAAAGACATTCGAGCCATGGGGCAGGTCTGTTAAGAGGGACAGAAAGGGCAGGCCTGCCCCTTGAAGAGGGATGGCTAGCAGCCTGACGAGGCCAGAGGTCCTCTGGTCCTCATGAAGGATGATCTCCAGAAAATGTCCCAGTCCAGAGGAGATTGGCTGGGATACTGGGCCTACTGGCCAAATCGGCGCCTGAAGGAAACGTCAGGGATCTGGAAGGTGTGAGAAGATTTTTCTTGTCTCCCTGAGTTAAAATACAACTAATCTCTCTCTGGATTTGACTGTTTCTGCCTCTTTGCAAAGGCTGGCACCTGGGTCTCTGCTCCTTAATGAGAGAAACACGCCCACGCTTCTTGTAGCTTTTCTTGACTCAAATGCGGCTGATTTGTTCTTCCTCGAGGTCCATCCGCTGTAGTGGAACGATCCACCTATACCATCAAGGTCCCCCTTGGAAAACCACAGGCCCGGCCTTATTAAAAGCAAAACAAGAGGAAAACTCATGTATTTCTCACGAGAGCCAGCCCACCAGCGCTGGCGTCCGAAGTGGGGAGCGGTGTGTGCTGGTTTGCACTAGCATTTTGGTCTCTGCGAGTGTTGGTTGGCAGCAGGCGCCACGGATTTCCAGCTGAGTGCAGATGAAAGCGTGCAGACCACCCCAAGGGTCGGGACTCGAGGAGGGGCAGTGGAGGTGGAAGCAGGGACCGTGAAGGGTCCAGAGTACAGTCTCAGTCTGCGCGTGAGCCCTTGCAGGGAACGTGGGAGGAAGGAGTCCTTGCAGGGTCGGCACTTAAAAGGGGAGGGTTTGTGCAGCTAATGGAAGAGCAATGCAGACCAGCAGCCATTTGGGGGGAAGAAGGTAGTATGGACAGATTTCAGAGCTGGCAGAAACATCCCCAAGAAGGCACGAAGTGCCCCATCACAGCTAAGGAAGAAATCCCGATCTCCGATCCATCGGTCTCCCCCGGCTGGTGCATTAAGCACAAAAACTGGGTGGCGCCCAGTGCTCAGATGTGGGGTTTCTGCACCCAGAGAAACAGCGGCTGGACTCTGCTTCCTTCTGTCCACGCAGTTTGCAGATGTGGCTGCTTTGCAGCGAACCCCTCTTCCAAAGCAAAGAGAGCCCAAGAAAGCAGGCAAGGTGCGCAGTGCTGGGGAAGAGAGGCCAGTGAAGAGTTGCCTTCTGTGGAGCAGCACTTTTTAGCACCGGCTCCTCGTCCCACTTGCTGTTGTGGCCCTCTCCTCTACACAGCGTGGTGTTCAGGCTCTAGCTAAGAGCTCAGGGGCAAATGACCTCCTATTTGCACCTTGCAAAGGGCTGCAGAGCGGCCGAAAGAGCGGGGAGACAGCAGAGGAAACTGCTGTGGGGAGAAGATGCTCATTGGTATTGCTGCCGGAAACCAAACCAAACCCCAAACTTGCACCCTTCGCTCTCAGTCCAGCAGCCTCAGAGACCCAGCATCTTTTCATTCAGAAATGAGCTGATCTGACCGCAGAGTTTCCACTTACACCTGGCCTCTTGGGGCCTGCTGGGTTGGTGGCAGCTCTCAGATGGACAGCTAACATGCCTAGGAAACTGCTCGGACCAATTTCCAACTCCCTTTATTATCTACCTTGGTATCCATGTGCTTCTCATCACCAAAGGATTGACCAGCAATCGCTGACCAGGACAGGATGCTTATGATGGGCAAATGAACCCAGGTGAGATAGGTCTTTGATTTGCAAACAAAAAACTCTTGGAAGGTCACCGCCTCGGCGTTGGGCTCTGGATGGCGTTCAGTCAGACAGACACAAAGGACTTGTAGGCAGGATGCACGCTGCTGCCACTCAACCGCAGAGACCCAGAAATGCCAGCTGTAACTGGAAAGTTTATTTCTAAGCACAATGTATGGAAAACATGTATGTAGAAAATGTCGTAACAAATCCCTGGCCGAGCGGGACACCACGGTTGTCACTACGCCGCACGCCACAGCCATCCAGAGCTTCATGCAACAGAGGGGATGGGACTCGGGACAGCACCCCACCCATGTTAGCAACAGGAGAGTCCCCGGTAGTGGTGTAGGGGCTATGATACACCTAGGTGAGCTGGTTGGCTTGCATCCAGACAAGCAGTGTGGTGCCCATTCCCACTGACCAGTTGGTTACCCTCTCGGGTACGGACGGGACTTGGTGCTTTAGCGGGCTTCATGAACGTGGATGCTCACAACCCCCCTGTGAGGTAGGTAAGTATTATTGTCCCCATTTTGTGGATGGGGAGCTGAGCCAGAAGGTTCAGGAACTTGTTCAAGGCTACAGAGAGTCAACGGCAGAGCTGGAGTGAGATGATGAAGTCCTGCGCCCGGACCGTGCCTCTCTTTCAGGCTGAGACGTGCTTCTGCCCCGATGCTTGTCCACAGCCTGCTCGCCCCGAGGAAAGGACAGGTTTTCCCTTACTAAATGTCAGGGGAAGGTGGGGGAGACCCGGCCAATTGCCTCCCCATCTGCACCACAAGTGTCCGTCAACACGGGGATCGTTTGCTTTGATTGCACTTTTCTATCCCTGGCCGTGGGAGCAGCCCGAGGAAGGACACGCTCCCTCCAGCACCTGCTGTTTTGGGGAGCTGCTTCTAGGGCTGTTCAACACTGCCTGTCCCCCAGCACCCAAAAGCACTCTTTTGGCAGACCGCAGACAGGCCAAATACCCCCGAGATCATCTCCGTGCATGTGGCTCTTTCAGGGTAAGCCCATTTTGGGTCATTTAGGACAAAGCTCAACTCTGCTTCTGTGCCTCATCTCACTCCCCATCTGCCATAACTCCTGTTTTGGTGTATTTTGGTATTCAAAGGGACACTGTCAAGTAATTTAGGCCTAAAACGTGACCTCCCGTAAAACACCGCTCTCATCGGTGCTCTACATCACTGGACGGCTGGCAGTTTCAAGTCTGGATGCCATAAATGAGGCAATGGGAGTCCACGGGCAGGGGCCCAATTCAGCACTACCTGCTTTTCAGAGGCGCTGAGCATCCAGTGGAGGCTGCGAGAGGTGTTTCGGTCTTATGGCGAAGGTTGGTAGCACAAAACCGCAGCTCAGCCCGTCTGAAAAATCAAGCCAATGTGATTTAGGCGCTTTTATTTGGCTCTGGGCGGCCAATGGCCAGACTTGGGGGCTGAAATTGTGACTGCCATTGCTCCAGACCTAGTTAACGCCCGATATTGGTACTGGTTGCTCGTCTGCTGATGCGAGGGTAACAAGACAGCTCCGCTCCTCGGGGCTGGGGCACTCGTCTTCAGTGATGCCGGGGCACGTGGAAAGGACGTAAACCGTGCGCGGCCACGTTTGACACCCGGTTACGGTACGAGGGGAGGAAGGGGGAGGAGGAGGAGGGAGAGAGGTGGAAGGGAGTGGCGTGAGCGGAGGTGGGGGAAGCGGGGAGAAGAGCGTATGTCAAATGGAAAAGGACGAAATCAGTAGGAAAGAAATTTTATTTTCAAGCTTTTAAAGAGAATATTACAAACAATGGAGAGTAATAAAAAAACCCTAAAAACTATTTAAAAAGTACTTGACAGTGTCCCTTTAATACCCACAAAGGATTCAGCCATTGTGCATTGAAAGAGAGTGTTCTTGAAGAGCAACTGGCACCTCCATGGAGAAGTCCTAAGAGAAGGACACTTATTAAAAGTGTAATAAAGTAAGGAAGGGACTGTGCTCCCTCTGCAGACTAAAGTCTCTGCTGAATGATTGAATGGCATAGACTAGACGATGAACTAACAAACCGGAGATTGAGGGCTTAACCTAGAGGACCAAGAGAGACTCTGATGCGGGGATACACACATCCGAAAAATCAATACGTGTCTGATGAGTGGATGAATCAAGGCGCAGGAGAAACCCCGCGGGGCTGGGCCTGGCCCCGTGCGCTCAGCCGGGGGCAATGGGAGGAAGGTAACCTGGAAGATGGTTTCCATGAGTGAGAAAGGTTGGGCGCTGAGTTTGGGGTCATGAAGGCATAAATCACACCAGGACTTGTGCTTGAAAACACCCGCCGAACATTTCTGTACAACATTCGCCCAAACATCCAAAGGTCACGCGACTCCCCTCCCAGGCCCCCCCTCCCCGAGCCTCCTTTGGTGGGAAGCTGTGAAATCAGGGGGGTGGTTTTGGTGAAATTTGGAAGGAATTGCCTTTCTCTCTCTCTCTCTCTCTCTCTTTTTTAAATCAATACTGAAAATCCCAAGCCATTTCATTGGAAATATCCCATCACAAACAGTACAGGGCTCCAGAACGATGTAGGAAACGCAACGACTCCCATCCCTGGGTCCCCCGGTTTGACAAATACTCCAAAATACTTTGCTTCCTTCGCTCCCTCCGGTTGCCGCCATCCCACTCTGCGTGCGGGGGGTGTGCGCGCGTGCGTGCGTGTGTGGATGTATGTAGAAAACGAACGTTACCCATCCCAGGTAATAAAACTTGTAAGACATGCTAATACCAGCTGTTCCTCTGTGTGCCCCCAAACCTCTGCCTACTCAGTTTTTAGTCTGTATTGCACTTGTTTTGTTGGTTGTTTTTTTTTTTTTTTTTTTTTGTGTTTTAATATTTACTGGCTGGAAAAAAAAATGAACCTCTTCAGCATGGGTGCGCGGCTCTGCCTCTCCTTCCTCCTCAGTTGGCCACGTGTCGCGTATGCTCCTTGTGCAGCTACAAAGAAGAAAACGGAAAGAAAGGAAAAAAGAAACAAAGAAAGAAAAAGGCACACCATGCTCCTCTGCGGTAGAGTTCCTCGGCTCCTCTGCTTCGCGTTAAGGCCTCCAGAAATCTTAGCTCAGACCGTCGTAACCCTCATAACGAGCTCTCTGTTAGTGCTAGATTGGCTCCTCTGTTCGTGAGGCCTCAGGTGGCTGAGTATATGCAGGATGGTATAAGCACAGTGGTGGTCAGAGAGGGTGCCCGTGGCATGGCCGGTGCCCCGAGCCCCGTTGTCGGCGGGAGTGGAGTTGCTGGCTGCACCACCGGTGGAGGACGAATGGTTGGTTTGGGAAGAGGGTCGTTGGTTTGTCCTGGTCCCTGTTTTTTGTTCCTCCATGTCCTTTGTTTTGTCATAGTTCAGCACTTTCCACTGCTGATTTACCGCCTGCCACCGTTTAAAAATCCGGTAAACTGAGGGCCCTTCATGGATTATTAGACCTGGAGGGAAGGGGGGAATAAACAACAGAAAGAAACTTTAGAAAGAAGCTATCATCCTCTCCCTACCCCCATCACTCCCTCCACTTGCTTGCTTAGTGGTCTGTGAACGTACCTCTCTTAGTCAGTGTTTATTCTATGATAAATCAAGGTTTTTAATTACTGCTTGGCAGGGCACCAGCCCTCTTGCTCAGCTGGACCTCTTTCCACCTGAATTAAATGCACGGCAGTTTTATCTCAGCAGTCAATAAACAGGTCGTGAGTGTGGAAAGATGAGATATTCTGTCCAGCAAAATAATATCCTCTGACTAGCGCACACCTCGGTTTGATCCAGGCCTGGCCTCGCCGTGCATGACTCACCGGGTAGGAAATGTGGCGGGGGAGAGGAGCTGGGATCTGTGTGTGGTTGGCGTCCCTTGCATCAGCCTCCTGCGTGCACCAGTCAAACCTGCCCGCGTGCGCGGTAGAAAGGCAGTCGAGGTCTAGGGCAGAGCAGGGCTGGCAAGCAAGATCTTTGGGCTCTGTTCCTAAGTGTCCTGGACTTTCAGTGGGCAAGCGACTTGACTCGGTTGACCTCCCTTGACTCACTTACCTTGTCTGCAAAATGGGGATGCACCACTCTTCATGCACGAGACTCATTCGTGAAGAGTGCTCTGATATCAATGGATGAGAGAGGATCATGCGAGCAAATTATCACCACTGATATTGCATGTGTGTGTCTGCGCCGGTATCCCCTGACCTCGCATCGGCAACGGTGTATGGAGGGCTTCTCCCCTGCTTGCAGCAGTGGTCTGTGACTAATCCTAACTTTCTGAGTCCTGAGACACAGGGCAGGCTAGTTCCTGCCTCCATGCCTCAGTTATCTTCTCTGTAAAATGGGAGCATTCGTGTATTCGTCTCTCTAAATTGGGCCGCGGGAATTAGTTAATATTTACAAATCACTTGGGAAAAATGAGTTACTCAGGGGCTAAGGATTATTATTATTATTATTACTGGATTATTTATTTTCTCCAGTACTGTGGAGAGTGGCATGGTTTAGATATCTAGTTAACTTAGACAGATTCACACACACACACACTCATACCTGTCTGTTGAACTTGGTAGAAGCAGTGACATCATGAATCATATTGGCTTAGTCAATATATTAAAACACTATAAATCAGGCTAAACTGGAGACTTTGTCCAAAATGTTTAATTTAAGGCAGGGTCATATACAAATCAAACCTTGCGGGATGTTAGGGTGTGCATCGGTTCACCCATTGCAAAAGCACTGCTTCCAGCTGATGGACTAACACTAAGTTGGATCAGTGTGGACATCATTCAGTTTAGTAACAATTTTTTACCTCCTTCTGGGCCAAAGTTAAGATTATCAGAGGAGATCCCTGCCTTTAGGATCATCCACAGTTTACCAACCCAAGAGCTTTCAGGAGCATAAATGCACCAGCAAAGAATAGACTCGCATACAGCAAGTGTGATCACATTTTACAAAAATCTTGACACGGGCTCGACCAGTTGGATTTCATGATGGGTTTAATGTGCATGCAAGTGAAAGTCGCTGGAGTGTAAGATGATTTAGCGCCATCATTGATGAACCGAACCTAATCACTTTGTCCTTAGTCCAGCATTTTCCCAGAGCTGTGCTTTCCTGTGCTACCTGGCACGTAATGACCTCCCCTGGCACACGAGAGCCGGCTGTTGTGGGGGCCACCAGCTGGTCGCCTGTCTTGTTCGGACACGCAAGGCAGCAGTCAACATTTATGGCGATGGCCCGTGGCAGGAAGAACTTGTCTTCCACCAGGTAAGCTCTGTAGGACGGTCATCGTCTACCACAGTAGACTGCCCAGCACCTGGCTGAGGCCTGCAGAGATGACTGCACGGCAATGCAGATGAATAACAACAGCACGCTCAGGAAGATAAGAGCTGCAGCCAAGAAAAAGACCAAGGGTAAAACAAATGGCTCAGGGGGCAAATTTACCCAAAGGTTTGGTAACCTTATGTCACCCACCGAGGGAATCAAGAAAATTCAGGTTGGAAGGGAGCTCAGGAGGTCACATCCAGTCCAACCCCTGCTCCAAGCAGGACCAGCCCCAACTACATCATCCCAGCCAAGGCTTTGTTGAGATGGGTCTTACATACCTCCAAGGATGAAGAGTCCATCACCTCTCTGGGGAGCCTGGTTCACTGTTTTACTATCATCCTACTTAAAAAGTTTTTCCTCATATCCAACCTCAACTTCCCTTGCTACAGCTTGAGCCCATTGCTCATCTGCCCCCAATGAGACCAGCCCAGCTCCATGCTCTTTGCAGCCCCCCTGCAGGGAGGTGAAGCTGGTATTCAATCCTCCTCGGTCTTCTCTTCTGCAGACTCAATCAGCCCATTTCCCTCAGTCTCTCCTCACCAGTCCTGTCCCCCAGCCCCACAACCATTTCCATTGCCCTCCACTGGACTCTCTCCAACCTGTCCACATCCTTTCTATAACGGGAGGATGAAAACTGGACACAGGACTCGAGATGTGGCCTCACTCACCAGTGCAGACCAGATCAGAAAATGTTAGAAAGAGCAGAAGGACACATGCCTTCAGAGCATGGAGGTCTGCCAATTTGCAGGAGAATATGCCCATCCCCTCATGACCGAATCTGTTTATATAGATACCAAAACTAACACGCACATGCACAGCTGTGATCAATGCACTTCCACCACTGATCCCACCTTTCCAAAGGGGTGTAAGAGAGTCGTTCCACCCCTGCAGTGCTGGGCATGCTGATGTGCAATGTGACAACGTTAGAGCCATGGGAACATCTTACTGGAAGTCAAAACCACATGGGATCCTAGCATCCTGGGATTCCCAGCAAGTCAGAAACAAAATATTCACATGGGTGCAGTGAGAGAATGGTAAAAATGGGCAACTTTGATTGAATTATGCTTTGATTTGGAGGCCCAAGTCCAAACTGGTAGTCAAAGCAAGACTGGGGCTGTGGATAGAAATGAAGATGTGGGGTAGATATTAGGAAAACTTTCTCATGAGTAGGGTGCAGAAGCACTACCCAGAGAGGTGGTGCAGCCTCCATCCTTGGAGGTGTTGCAGACCCGGGTAGACAAAGCCCTGGCTGGGATGCTGTAGCTGGGGCTGGTCCTGCTTGGAGCAGGGGGTTGGACTAGATGTGACCTCCTGAGGTCCCTTCCAACCATTTTCTGTGATTTGATGAAACAAAGAATATGTTCAGGACGTCCCGTGACTGGGGTTTGAACGGAGACATCACCCCTTTCCTGCGTCCAGATCAACTGGGGTAGCATTTAAGATCAGTTTGGATTGAAATTAGGTTTCCAGTCCTCCCGGCGTGAGGAAGGCCATCCAAATTTGACCTGCTACATAAACCCGTCCAAATACCATCCCTTGCTGCACTACTTTGATTCTGAAGAAACAACACGAGGACTGCTTCATTCACCTTAATGTGGTGCTAACTCCGAGGCTTCGCAACAATACAAATGTTTGGCTTGTTAAGCACTTCATTGCTCTTCACACTGAATATTAACACCTGGCTGTCCTGGGACTTTGGCTGAAATAAGACAGGATCACCACTGATGACAGCCGTGAAAACCTCCGTGGTCTATAGGAAGCAAAATGGGAAAGAAGTCTGTGATAGTGTCTAAACCCAACTCTCAATCTTCGCTCCTGCCAAACACCCTGGGGTCATGGCAGAAAATTATTTTCTATTCCCTGCCCTGAAATGTAGGTGACATCTTTCAGCATCTCTAGGATCAAAGAACAGAGCCGGGGAAAGCAGGACACCTGAGGACACCTGGGACTGACTAAAGGCCCAGGCACGGCAGCAGAGACCTTTGAAGCAGGTCTCAAGGGGATAGCCTCTGCCAAGGGATGTTAGGAATACATTTAAATGAGTTATCAGAGCCCTAAATAGGAACAAAATCTCGCCCTGAACAACAACAGATTCAGTGCGTCATTGAGATCCTTCTAGGCCCTGGATAAAAGAAACCAAATCGGGCATTTCCTCCGGAGCCGTGTTACGCCTCCGTGGGATCAGATCCAGTCTCCCAAGTGTTAAGCACAGAGCCGGGAGTGTAAATCTATTCTTAATGAGCTTATCAGAAATATTAAAATGAGCAGCCTGATTCGAGAGGGTTGTTTTTAAAACTCTTGTTTGTTTGTCTCCTAATTATAAATGTGTATGATCTACGCAATTAGCTGTGTGATGCTGATGGATGGGCTGCTGAGTCGGCCAAGCACCTGTTTGCTCAGATAATTCTGCCTTCAAAATATTTATAAAAGTGCAAAATAACTTGTTTTCCTCTGTATTTGCCGGGCTCTAAATTACTTATCGATTTTGCCGCGTGGAGCTCAGGAAGTTGTAAAATTAAAAGGGAACAGAGCAAAGGGGTGGGCAGGGAGGCAGAAGTAAGGGTGATGCATTTGCAACAGTAAATGCCAAGAGTGAGCGAGAGTCGGTCTCAAGTTGTGGGAAGTTTTGTAGGGCCGGTCAACACATTTGGCCTGTTTGAGTTAAAAAATGCCAACCTGAATGCCTGCAGGCAGCTTCGTGGAAAGCCCTTCCAGACATACCATCGCTCTGAGGGCAACCCTGTGTTACTGGAGGGCAATCTTCCCGATTTACGGCTACATCTACCTGGAGCAGCCTGCAGAAGGGGTCTAATTCTGGGAAAACTTCCCAAGTTTCCCATAGACCTCTCCATAAGGCAAAGCAGGCAGCAGGGGCTCTGCTCTCGATTGCAGATGCCCTACAGGGAAACTTTATGGACATTGCGTGTCTCCTAGTCATCACGTGGGTACTTTGTGCATCTCCTGTCTGTTTGCTGAACTACCCCTTGCCTCTCATTTTAGACCAAGGTTGGAAATACTACAGGGCAGGGCCTGTTTCTTTGCAGTGTATCCATACAGCCCCTCTCCGGTGAGGATTAGACTAGGTTCTCAAACTTTTTCTTATTGCATAATCCCTCCAGATTTACCAGCTGCCTGCATACGCTTA